GATATAGTAATAATTATGGTCTTTAATTTTCTTAATTCTAATCTTAATCATCTTTGCTATATATTCTTATATACTTCTCAATAAATTTAGTTTATGAAAAAAGCCCGACCTTTTCTTGTGAGTTATGAGTTGCTCTCTCATGGTATGAAGCTATATTTGCCTAAATCAATTATCCTATTATTTAAGAACATAGTCATACTTACCTAAATTATACAAATGCTGGCTTTTATTATGGTGTTATAGACCTTTTATCAATCAACTTGTACCATAATATATCGGCTTACTTTCAGAATCAAATACTTGTAATGTCATTTGACATAATATGCCATGCAAAACAGCTATCATCTATCATTTTAATCTGTTTAATTTTCATCAACCTTAAAAAAAATTAGTACAATACTTTTTCTTTTATACTAAGCCAGCAGTAAACATACAAGTTATTCAAGGATCAAAAACACTATTTGGTTAGAAAATAGTACCTGTGCAAAGCAATATTATACTTAAGCAATTTATTTTAGAACTGGTTAAAAACTATTTATTAAATGATCATTTTGAATATTTGAATCTGTTTGAAAGAGTCGAGGCTCAATATGGAAATTTAAAAACTACAGTTAATCAAAGTGTTAACTTTGAGTGTAATTTGTGGGAAGTAGCAATGAATTACAGAAAATATCTTATTTTTTGATTACCTACATCTCAGACAACTTCATCGTCAATTAACCAATACATCAACCCCTTTGAGGTTATATTTAATACCCAAAATTCTATTACGCTTCTAACATGAAAATCTAATAACAACCTAAATAAAAAAGAGCAATTATGAAATGATATACTAACTTGGATTAAAGGAGAGAATAGAGGTTGGACAGGACCAGGTGCTGCTGAGACAATTAGAAAGCTATTTATACAAGACTTGACTAATATACTATGGTATGTGGATGGATGTAATAGCAATACATTTACCCAGTAATATAACTTGCCTAAAGCTTTCAATAATTTCATGGAGTATAATATTCCACCAAATTATAAATACACCTGGCCAAGATTTAATGCTGAAAAACTTTATGAATATAGTAACTGTCTTCTTAAATATGATATCTGCCTATGGATGACAAAGTTACTACTTTCAAGATTCCTTAAAGATCCTGTAACAAAATTTGGTGAAGATCTTTCTAAATACACTGAATATCTAATAATAAAAGTGCAGAAATATCTCAAAATCGAGAATTTAATCTTCCTATAGTTAATGAATATGACAATAGTCTACTAAAGATATTAGTAGCAAATGTTAAATATATATTAGAGAATACTGTAAAGTATAAAAATCTTTTATTGGCATTACATGAACAATCATACTGGAAGCCAATTTTAGTTGATTGCTTTTGCTCTTCAATGTCACTTATATATGTATTATATACTATAAAAAAAAAAATAATAATAAAATTGTTAAAATTATTTCATACTATATTATGTAGACAAAAGTATCAATATTTAGTTAATTTAAGCACTGAGTTTATATTTAAGATTGGAACATATACTTATCATAATGGCAATGTTTGCAATGTAACTTATACCTGGTATATAGATGAAGATGCAACGAAAGAAGAAGTTTCCAATCAACACTATAAAATTTGAACAGAAATCAAAAAAGATTTGCCTACTTATCATACATGTTGTATATATAAAGAATATATAGATATTTGTGAACTTTATCTAAACAAGCAGCCAAAGGCTAAGTTACAATACATCTATAAAGAATTGACAAATGACGCATCAGCAGCAAAATCAATAAATCAGAGTGAAATAGATGAATGTGTTAAACTAGCCTTTGAGAGCATTGTGCAGAAAACCATGATTGCTGTCAATGAAAGAAGGCACAATCCAATTGTGCACCTTGCACAAGTTATCTCAGTTCATAATCTTTGTGATATAATAACACAAATAAAAAAAATTAATTCACAAGCACCAATCCTATCAACTCAATGGCTACACTTAC